TTAATTAGAAAGATGAGTACAATTAGGATTTTTCATTATTTAGTACTATTTTCATATTTGACATGTGAGAACGTTGTGAAGGAAAGGCAAAAAAAACATGCTTTTAACTAATTAAAAAGAGAGTATTAATAATAATATATTCATTATCACCAAATTAATATAGCATGCTTCCGTGAGTATTAATATATGTGATATAGTATAAAAAATTTATTAAATTTCCAGATAACCTTTAAATTTAACTTACTATATTGATGTTTAGAAACTTTTTTCTAAAATAATGAAACTGATATTCAGACTTATTTTGTTTTTATAAAATTCATTCGGTAGAGAATCGGAGTATAGAACTTTTCGAATAGTTATTTTAAAATATTAAAAATTCAACATACCTATTACATATTCAAGAATCATATTCCAACCTAAATACAAAGAATATTATATTAACAAAAAATATGTTCAATAAATAGAAATATATACCTATAATAAATGCCATAATTTCGCCAACACTCACATATGTGTACGTATAGGCACTGCCTGCACGTGGTGCTCGCGAACCAAATTCAGCATAGCAGACACCTGGAAAATAACATAAAATATATCATACATACATAAATAATTAATATTTACCAGCAAGAATCGATGCAATCGCTGCAATAAGAAAACTGAGAATAATTGATGGTCCGGCTGTTTCATGAGCTACTTGTCCTGTAAGAATATATGTTCCTGTACCTAATGTTGATCCAATGCCTAAAATCGAAATAAAATAAAATTATTTATTATATAATAATATAATAATTATTTATCTTACCCAAAATAGTAAGATCAAATACAGTTAAACATCGTCTTAACTGAGACGTTTGTATCGATTCATCATCATAAGTTTTCTTGCGTGTTACATTATCATAAAACTTGTGTAGAAAACTTGTCATTATTTTCGATTATCTACTTCTGTTATGAATCAATTTAGTAAGTATATCTACAATGATAAATACAAAATATCTGTTTTTTGTCGAATTACATTTTACGCATTC